AGATCCTCCAGTGGACTTCTGAGGCTGTACACAGAACGAAAGGAGACTGTCCATCGTGCTAGTGGATTTGAAGTGCCAATGAAGTACAGCCTTTGGGTTAGCAGGTAGACTCCCTACTGACCAGACCACCAGAGCACCCTCATGCAACTATATTATACCTTAATTGTTAACATATACAATAAATGTACTACCACCAGAGCAGAACACCATATAGCATCAACAGATGACAAAAATGCTTAAAAATCAGGTATGACTCCAATGTAAAGAAGTGACAGCACTTGGAAAGGAAAGCACATATAGTTAGGTATCATTCAGTCAGCACCAACTCATACAGACCAAAACACTGCCTGATCCTGCACTGTCCTTACTAGTACCACTGTGCTTGAGTCCCCTGTTGGAATCACCATGTCTGCCACTTTTTTACTGTCCCTCTACCAAGCAAGTTGTCTTTCTTCACGGACTGGCCTTTTCTGACAATAGGCTCAAAATACGAGTGACAAAGTCTTGCCACCCTTGTTTTGAGGAACATATGAAAGCAAAAACTAAACCCACGTCTTCACAATGAAGTCAAACTCATAGGAACCATCCATCAGGCAGAGGAGATCCACCATTTTCTTCTTGAGATCAGGCAGTGGATTAAAATTGTCTACTTTTCAGTCAGCACCTTGAAACGTCATGTACTACACTACGATGGATCTTTAAAAAAACACCCAGGCTGGTTTTATAGGCATGTTGTTGTTGTAGCACGCTACTGAGTTGGAAATGACCCATTGGCAGGTTTTCAGAGGCAATAAATCACAGAGGAGGTAGATTCGAACCATGGTGCCATTGGATTGGGAGCATAAATCCTCACCCCTAAGCCACCAGAACTCCCATTATAAATGAGCTCTAGCAGTTAAGAAACTGCACTGCAATCTTCAAAGAACATAGTTCCAATCCACCAGCTGCTCTGCAGGAGAAGGCTGGGCAATTTCCTCTTATATGAATTTATTGCTTCTGAAAACTTGTTGAAGTGTCTGCTATTGGTTTCCAACTCAACGGGTATTCAACAACAGCAACCCACCATAACTTCCAATATAGATGGGTACAGATGGTACAGCAAAGTGATAGAGTCGAGGAAAGAAGATAATTTAAGCAAAAGAGAAGATGCACTATCCATTGTTTTGTCTATAAATTATATCAGCTATTCATACACCCAAATAGTGATTAAAACATTTAAAGTAGTTAAAAGGTGGTACACAAAGTTGGTTCTTATTTGGAACCACAGACACACATTTTTTAAAGAAAGTTTCACAGAGGTGCTGTTTATGAAACTGAAAAATCTAATCAGTATTCACTTAACTACTAATCTTTGTCTCACTAGAAATGCTCATTAATACAGATTTTTCTAGCATGTGGGTCAATTGCTCTTCAAGCCACAATGAACTCGAGAAAGAATTGCCAACCTCATCAAGGGCAATTCAGAGATGCGAAAGCCTCCTTTACCAGTTCCAATCAAGGTAAGGAAATGAAATGACTAACTGAAGAGCTGGAAAAATACACAAATTATTAAAGTGATAAAGCTAAACTTCAGATATAACTTAGAGCTATGTTTTAATTTTTTGACACTGTGATAAAGAGAATGAAGAGTAACAGAACTCAGAGAAGAAAACCAAGAAAGCAATACCATTTACAATGGCCAATCACAAAGAGAGATGCTTAGGAGTGAACCTAACTAGAGACACAAAACAAAAAAAACTGATACGAAGAAAACGACAAAACTTTTCTGCAAGACACAATGAAAGACATAAAGAAATAGAAAATGTGCCCAGTTCATGGATAGGAAGACTCAGTATTGTGAAAATGACAATCCTTCCAAAAGCAATCTACATGTTTAACGCAATCCTAATACAGATATTAAATTCCTTTTTCAAGGCGATCAAAAGGGAAATTGTCAAGTTTATTTGGAGTGGAAAGAGACCCTAAATAAGCAAAGCACTTCTAAAAAACAAAAATGAAGTGGGAGGCATAGTCCTCCCTGACCTCAAAACCTACTACACAAGAGTAGTAACCAAAACAGCATGGGACTGGTACTTGACAGGCACACAGACCAATGGAACAGGACTGACAACCCAGAAATGGACCAAACTATCTACGATCAATGGATATTCAGCAAGGAAATAAAACCTATCAAATGGGAAAATGACAAACTCTTCAACAAATGGTGCTGGCAAAGAGGACAGCGTCAGAAAGCTGAAATAAGACCCACATCTCACACCACACACTCAACTGAAGCTGGTTTAGATAGTTGACAGTAAAGCCCCAAACCACAAAGTTCATCGGAGACAAAGTGGGATCAGGCTTAGAAGGCCTAGTTTATGGTATAAAAAGATTGCCAAATACAGCCAAAAATGCACAATCTGAAGAGGATAAAATTGATGAATTGGACCTGCTAAAGATGAAATCTCTGTTCTCATCAAACTTTTTCCAACAGAGTAAAAAGAAAACCTACTGACTGGGAACAAACATTTGGCAATACCATTTCAGACAAGAGTCTCATAACAAAAGTTTACAAAATACTTCTGGGCCTCCAGAAGAAAAAGATTGACAATCCAATTACAAAATAAACAAAAGACACGTGAAGACTTTTCACAGAGAAAGCTATTCAGATGGCCAAGAGATACAGGAAGAAATGCTCAAAATCACTGGCAATAGAGAGATGCAAATCAAAACCAGGAGATACCATCTTATCCCAGTAGCAGTGGCAAAGTTTAATGGGGTAGCAAGAAATAAATGTTGGAGAGGATGTGGGGAGATAGGGGCTCTTTATACATTACTGGTAGGATTGTAAAATGGAACAATCACCCTGAAAGGCAATTTGGCATTTCCTCAAAAAGCTGACCATAGAAATTCCTTATGATGCAGCTATCCCACTGCTTGGAATACAGACCAAGAAAATAAGAACTGAGGCACAAACAGAGACTTGTATACCAAAGTTCATAGCAGCGTTACTCACCATAGCAAGAACATGGAAACAATCCCAATGTCTAACCACAATAGAATAGACTGAGAAATTATGGTACACTCACACAACATAATACTATATAGCAAGCAGGAGCACTGGTTTTGTAAATTACTACCTGTTTGGGAGGAATTGGAGAACATTATGCTAAGGGTTAGTTCTCAGTCCTATAAGGACAAATACTGTCCTCCATTGCAGAAGGTTTAAGAAGATCCAAGGGTGGGGTAGGGTGGGTGGTTACATAAAGAAAAGTGGAAAGATTCGGTGTGAAAAATAATGTATACAAACTTTGTAAGTAAACCAATATAAAATAAAAATTTTATATATGTATGTGTGTATGTGTTTGTGTGTGTGTGTGTGTATATATATCTCAGAAGGCCTAATGTTAATGACTTAGTTCCTAATGTATTGGCTGCTTACTGAGGAGTGGTTTGAATCCATTGGTGTTCTGAGAGAGCAGTTTCCTCAAAGTTTACAGCTTTACAAGTTTAAAGTTTACAGTTGGAGGGTTGCTATGAGTTGGACTAGCAAGGGTTTATTATATGGCCTACGAGGCTGCTCCTTGGAGGAAAGGATTCTGAAGTTGCGTCTGACATACTTTGGACATGTTGCAAGGCGGGATCAGTCCTTGGAGAGGAATGTCATGCTTGGGAGGGTGGAGGGACAGCACAGGAGATGAAGACCCTGATGAGATGGATTGATTCAGTGACTGGGTTAATGGGAGTAGGTGTGTTAGAGACAATGAGATTGGCACAGAAGAGAGCAGGGTTTAGGGCTGTTGTACATTGGGTTGCTATGAGTCCAAGGCGACTTGACAGCACATAACAACCACCACCACCACCAACCATTGACAAGGGTCAGTTCTCCTTTCAACATAATGCTGCCAGTGTTTAACGTAAAAAGGACACTGCTGGTGGAGAAAAATGGTAATGTGATTATCACCTGAACCTGTTTGTTTTCTCTCATATAGATGTAATCTCTAACTCACAAGTTCCTGGGAGGACCGAATGAGATCATGTAAATGGACTGTACACTGCGAAGCTATTATTATTATGCAAATCACTACTGTGGTTTGTCTTTGCACTCAACTTCTCAATTTTTTTCCAAGTCAAAGAGCCAGGTAAAGAAAAAAAAAAGTAAATTAATTAGATTTTGGTGAGGGAAAAGGACAAATAATGGAAAATGCTGATTAGAATACTGGGTCAAAATGTCGGGAAGTTAGTCCCAGAATTACTGTAAAATCCTGTTGGAAAATCAAGGCAGCTACCTGCTTACCTTCTGCAGACTGCTTCCTCTTGTCCCTTTTCCCCTCCTCTCCAAATACACAGTAATGGTGGTTCTTTTAGGTGAATCATTGAGGGCAAGCTGAGTCCACGGGTGCATGGGAAGGAACTTTCAACCCTTATAATCAACCTCTTCCCCAATTACTTTAAGTAATACTCCTACTCGCCAGGCCTAGTCCAGTTAATCTATTCTATCAAGAAAATGGCTGTCAAGGTTTGCTTTACGGACAGTTTCGCTTCTACAAGGCATCAATGAGATAACCTAATTCCCTTCCTCTGCCAATTACCTATTTCTAGTGGACAAGTCTACAGTTACAAAACCCAGGTAATATGGTCTCTCCCTACATTCACCCACAATCCTCACTCTCCAAGCCTTAGCAAACGCAAGTGTAAAAAGAAACATGACGCCGCCTGTCACTGTCCCTGCAACTACGGAGAATGAATGAGAAGGTGCCTGGAAGACGTCAGTGATGGCATTTGATAACCACTGAGTCCTTCACTATAAGGTACTGGCTGGTCCCGCTATGTTCCCCTGCCTCAAAGAAATCGCCCAGATAGAACTGTCAGCTCCCCCAGTCACTGAAGAAGGAAGGTGATGGGGAAACGGGCTGGTTGCGTCTGCACTGAATCTCCCCGGGGTGAGGAAAAGGAGGCAACCTGGAGTTCCGAGCTGCGGGGGAGGAGAGGATGGGGGGAAAGGCTCCGGAAGAGGTTACCTGTTGTTCCGGATGCTGACCAGCACGCACAGCACGAGCTCCAAGTAGGTCCGCAGCACTTCCAGCCAATCGGTGGAGACCTGCAAGGCCTCCACTTCTTCCCCGCCAACTCCAGTGTCCGCGCCGTCGCCAGGGCCGCCGCTCGGGTAATTCTCGGCGGCGAACTCAACGCGCAGCTCCCGCACGAACCAGCCGCACTTGCGCATGAGGAATTCGAGCCGAGGCTGATCAGCGGGGGAGACGCGGAGGCTGATGCGCAGCTGGGGCCAGAGCGTCGGGTAAAAGAGGCACTCGCGCCAGTGAGAGCAGGAGGCCGAGGCCCGCAGCCGGTCGGGCGCGGACAGATAGGAGAATATGTGCACGATCAGCTCGCTGGGCAGCGACGCGGCGTCTGCCGCCTGCTCGAACAGAGCCATTCGTCCTCGCCGCCGGCCCACGGTTGCCTTCGCAGCCCCCGGAACAGCTCCTGCAGCTGCCGCCACCACGCCACCCGGACGACCCCGGCTTAGGTTCCTGCACCCGGCGGTCGCGGCTGTAGCACTGACAAGAACAACAACAAATGACAAGGAAGAAGGGGGCGGAACCGTCGTAAGTCTAGGCGGAACCAAGTAGAGCCGAGAGGGGGAAAGATTTCTGTGGGGGCGGCCTCCAGAGAGCTTGCGTATGTCTTCTCAAATTCTATTCACGCGCGTCGAGGCGGCTTACAAACTCAGTGTCTTTAAAATCTTTCCCTTAGACTGTTTATGGTTCAGAAGCGGCAGGATTTACTGTACGCAGCAGCAGCAGCAGCACTGCCCCCGACCGATGCTGAGGCCGGCCAGTGGTAGGAGCTGTGTTTGACGTCACCGGCGGTGGGGGGGAGCCCGGCGTTTATGGGCGCTACTTCCGGAAGACGGGAGCGGCTGGTTGCTGATAGGGCTAGGAGACGGAGCACGTGACGCCAGACGCACGCAGGAAGGCGCTGTTCCTTCGGTGAACGCCTCCTCCCGCCGCTCTCAAAGTTGGCGAAATTTGCATCTTCAAATAATCAAAGTGGTGGAATTTGGACTTAGGGCCAGAAGTCCTGACGCTTCTATTTAAACGTTTCGCAGTTGCCAAGCTAAGATCTCTCGACCAAAGTCTCAGCATCTTTCTTAGAATTCCCCTCTTCCCCTAAGCAGTTTCGGAAAGTGCACGGTTAAGGAGAGGGAATGGGCACACGGAGGAGTGTTAAGAGAAGCGCCGGGGCTGAAAGGACGTATGGAGCTCAAAGTGGCCGTTTCTCCTGCCCAGACTCTTCAAATGGGCTTCTGTGCAAAGCTTGTAGTGCGAGGAGAGCGGATAAGCGCCACTCTTTGCTCTTAACTGATCCGTAGCTGACCCTCCAGCAGGTTTTCAGAAGCTAGAAATCGCAAAGGAATGGGGAGTGCCCATCTTTCTCCCACTGAGCTGGTGGATTCAAACCGCTTGTCTTCAGAATTGCAGGTCGTCTTAGGACCACTAGGTCCCCAGAGGCCCTTTCCTTGGTTTAGAGCAGGGTAGCTGCTCCTCCGAGGCAAGGACCTGTGACGTAGTTTTACCTCCACTGAAGGTTACAAGGGTAGGTAAAGTCAAAGGATGAAAACATTTATGTAGTAAGTTGGTGCTTTGCCAAACAAGTACCAGGTCGCCAACAATTGCCTTGTATTCGCACCACCTATAAAATCTTCTAGTAGGGCACTTCTCTGAACCCTTTTCTGGAAGAGTTCTAGGTAATTGTTTTTATAACATTACTATTTAATAAACATTTAGTGGAAAGTGTAGAGAATTATGAGGTTGAGACCTGGATTTTAATTTTTTGGTTTTTTGCTAAACTCAATGAATTATCACTAATGCAGCATCAGGATGCATGGTGAAGAGATTGAGATCGTTAACAGTTTTAGTTAACTTGGCTCCACAGTTAACACCCTTGGCACCAGCTGTCAGTAAATTAAAGGACCTATTGCGATGGGAGAGTCTGCTGTTAGGGACCTCTCCAAAGTACTGAAGAGCAATAGTGTCACTCTGCAGACTAAGGTGCGCCTGATACAGACCTTTGCAATCACTTGCTATGCATCAGAGAACCGGACAGTGACTAGGGATGATAGAAGGAGAATTGATGCCTTTGAACTGTGGTGCTGGAGAAGAGTATTGACTATATCGTGGACTCCTAAGAAAACGAACTTAAACCAGGCTGCTCCTTGGAGGCTAGCTCCGTCTGACATACTCTGACCATGTTGTAAGGAGGGACGTCATGCTTGGGAGGGTGGAGGGACAGTGTAGGAGAGGAAGGCCCTTGATGAAATGGATTGGTTCAGTGACTGGTTAATGGGGGTAGGTGTGTCGGAGACAGATTGGCACAGGACAGATCAGGGTTTAAGGTTGTTGTACATAGGGTCGCTGTGAGTCGCAGGAGACTCAATGGCACATAACAACAACAACAACAACAACAACAACATGCACCTCTATAAAAGCATATTCCCAAGTGAAAAAGTAACATACCTAGCAAAATACAGTTTTTAAAAAATGTCTAATGTTCCATTTCAGATGTATCTAGTTGTATCCAGTTATCCGTAAAATGTAGAACTTTGTGCAAAGTAAAACCCAATTAAGGACCATATTTGTACCATTCTTAATATAGAATACACACATCTTTCTTTTTTTAAAGTTTTGATTTGACACATGCCAGGCTAATTGTTTTATGAAAAAGCTCACCTTTTGTATTTTTGAATGCTGCTTCTTGGTGTTTTGCTTATTAGTTGCTATATTCGTATGAATTTAGCCATTAATGATAGAAATATTTAAGAAGTTACTGTAATTGATATTGAATATGTGGAATCATATCAGGAATCATATAACTGTTTGAACTACCGTCATTGGTTAAAATATGACTCCTGAGGTACAATGATGACAGTTTGACCCTCTATCATGTAGAACTCTGAAGTGTTTTTTCTTTAAAAAAGTACTTTGTGAGATGTTACTTGATTTCAGCAATTCCTCACCAACCAGCCCCTAAATTTGGAATATGATGGTGGTATTATGATGCTGAAAGCAGTGCCAGCAGTCTTTCAGATACAAAGATCACCTCTAATGGCAGGGCTCAATAGAGCTTCTAGACTAAGGTATGCTAGGTAGAATGGCCTGTTGATCTGTTTTTAAAATTTGCTGATGTCATTAGGTACTGTTGAGTCAATTCCAACTCCTATCAACCCTGTAAAGGAGAATGAACACTGCTCAGTCCTGTTCTGTCCTCGTAGTTTTTAAGACCTTTGTCGCAGCCACTATGCCAATTCTTCCTTTTCTTTGCTGCCTCTCTACCAAGAGTGATGCCTTTCTCCCATCAGGACGGGTCCTTCCGGATAGCGTGTCCCAAGTACATGAGATGAAATCTTACCATCCTTGCTTCTAAGAAATGTTCTGGCTATATTTCTTTCAAAACAAAATTGTTTATTCTTCTGGCAGTTCATGATATATTCAATATTCTTTATTAAACATATAATTCTGGAAAAATATTTCATAATTCAAAGATATATATTTCTTGGTCTTCCTTATTCATTATCCAACTTTCACATTCATATGAGGTGATTAACAATAATAAGGTTTGGGTCAGGTATACCTTAATCCTCAAGGTGACACTTTGGCTCTTTAATACTGTAAAGAGTTCTTTTGCAGCAGATTGTCTGGTGCAATATATCATTCGATTTCTTGAGTATTTCTTTCATGGACATTGTAGATTATTCTTGACAGTGTAAATGTTTTCCACATTTATCATGATGTTGCTTATTGGTCCAGATGTGAAGATTTTATTTTCTTTATGAGGAAGTGCAATCCATATTTAAGGTTGTAGTTTTGGATCTTCATTGTTAAGTAGCTGAAGTGCATTTTCATTTTAGCAAGCACAGCTGTATCATTTACATATCACAGGTTGCTGCTGAATCCTCTTTTTTTTCCCAGTGGTAATTAAACCAACTGTTTTATTGATTTGGGAATTGGATGCCGACTCTCTGGCTTCTTCATGCTGAACAGGGGCGTAGATGTAAAGGGGGGAAGGGAGGATGCTTTATCTCCTTACTGGTGGTCTTGGGTTAAAGCTGCTTGCCTTCTTGCTCTGTTTAGAAGATATTTTCCTGTTTTTTGCTCCCCTCTGGACTACAAAGTGTTTTCCAAGGTGGGTCCAGTGGGGATGGCTGGTTGAACCCAGAGGCTCCATCCTCCTTTGCTTCCTTAGCTGTCAGTT